GAGACCCCGCCCTGGCCCGAGGCCCCGCCCCCGAAGCCCCGCCAGGCCTCCTTAAAGGCGCCGCGCCCACCGGTGTCGCCGCGGCGCCGGGATGTTGGGACAAGAGCTGAGGTTTTGGAGGGCGTCCAGAACACGGGGATTCACACGGGCGTCCCGGGCTCTAGGGCGAAGGCGCGTCAGGTGTCCGTGAGGGATCGTCCCGGCGCTTTCCTCCCTGCGGGCGGCCCGGACAGGAGGGGGGCACGCAGGCGGGAGAGGCCGGGGGCGAGCACGAGCAGGGGACAAAGCAGACCCCCCACCCCGGGCCCCCAGGGACCCCACTGGGCAGAGGTGGGACGTGGACGGCCAGATCCAACCTGCGGACCAGGTCCTCCGTCCTCCCCACCCCTGCCGCCCGCGCCAGCCGGTGTCCCGGCTTCCTCCGTGATGCTGACGACCCCTGGTCCAAGCTCCTGCCGCAACTGCATCCCAGCTGGGGAGGAGCATCGCCTCCCCGTAGCTTCCCATCCCCAGGCCCACCTGTCTCCTGGGGCCCTCGGCTGCTACTGTCCTCTTTGCCCCCAAGGGCCAAATTCCCAGCCTACCTGGGCTCGTCCCAGGGAGGGAGCACCTCCTTTCCTCCCCTGGGACTGCCTTCCCTTTAGGAGTGGTGCACGGTGCATGGAACTCTCTCCCCTGGGGAGACCTACTGCTTCCAACCTCTGACCCCCCCATCCTCATACTCCACTGCTGAGAGCAGGGTCCTGTCTGCCACCAAAGGTCATGTCATCCTCCAGGCCACCTTTGAGTCCTCAGGGTCCTTCCCTCTCAGCTGCGGTTTCTCTGAAGACCGCTGTCCTGATTCCCTTGGCCGTACTGTGCCCCCTTCTCCTTGACCTCCCAGCACACCCAGTGTGCGCATCTGCTCCCGCAAGATGCAGGCCTCAGTACAGCCTCCTCTCTGCCCGGTGCCCCACGGCCTCCTGGACCCCACTTGGGTCTCACAGCTCCCCATGCCAGCACCTGCAGATGCACCAGGGGGTCCCCCCCGGGCACTCCAGCACCTCTCCCCCACCCCCATTCCCAGCACTTGCCTGCCTGGCACATAGGGGCCCCTCAACACAGCCCTGGAGAACGTTCATGAAGAAGCACCCAGTGAATGCAGCTGGCTAATGGGGCTTATGGGTGTGTTACTTTCTTAGTTTCATTTTTTTCCTATGGTTAACACAAAATCAAAAAAGCACACTCAGTTACCTTTAGTAAAAGTCAGAAGCTTGAAGGAGGGGCCGCTCAGCCCTCCCGCATCCCCCGCCCTCAAGAGAGGCCCACACCTGCTGCTGGGGGCTGGGGTCGCTGCTCCTCTGGGGGACCTCCCTCTGCACACTGATGGGAGGCAGGTCAGATGTTCCACTAGCCCAACCCCTTCTCAGGGCTGCCTAGTTGGGGTCTCCCAGCAGAGCCAATGGTCGACCCCGCACACCTGCACACCTGAGCCAATGAAAAGGGCCACCTGCCTCCCCCCACTCACCCTGGCTCTGCGCCCCCCCCCTTGTGCAGTCAGCTGGCGCCCCTCACACCCCCTGGTCATCCTGGGCTCACACACACACAGATGGAGGCTCATATGTGTGTAAATGCACATACACATGCCGCAGCACCTGCCTGCAGGGCCTGCCTCCCCCCAGTGCCCCCGAAGCTCACAGCAGTGCACGTGTCCACCACAAAGGAGCTCCTCCGCCCCTAGTGTGGGGCCTGCCCTCGTCAAAGCCAGTGTCCCCACCATGAGGCTGAGCAAGGAGCCACTGCACTGGAGGATCTGGTGGTTGCTGAGGACAGACACAAGCACCTCTTTTAAAGTTTTCACTTTATTCCATGGTGATTGACAGACACACGCTGGAGTTAGTAATGCCATGCGGCTCTCTCCAGCCCCAGCACCAGCCCTGGCAGAGGCAGGGTCAGGGCAGCCCCACACCAGCTGTGTCTGGTCGTCCTGATCCCGAGAGGACTGGACTGGGGGTTGAGTGGGAGAGGACGGAATGGGATGTCGCAGTTTAAGGCATTTCTGGCTTCACAGCCATCTCTGCTGCCCCTACATCCACCCCTTGGCTATGGTCAGACATGGGCCAGGCCCTGGTCATGCTCAGACAAGAACGGCTGCCCCTCACACTGAACTTGAGTGAGGGTTCGCTGCGAGGCAGCCTGCAGCTGCTCTCGGGTCAGGACAGGAGAGACAACAGCCCCGCTGCTATAAGTGTCAAATAAAATCAATGCATGGAAAACGTGGCTGTGGCCAGGCCAGACACTTGGGCAGGAAAGCGACAGAGGTCAGCCACAGCACACATGGTGGCCACTCCCTCTCAGGGCCTGGTGTTGAGGGGAGGGGAACGGTGTATACAGGGCCAGCCAAGGGTCAGGGCACCCGGATGGGCCTGGGCCTGGCCTCTGCTCCACAGCACCCTGGGACGGGCGGATACAGCTCGAGGGAGGGGTGGAGTGTGGCCCCAACAGTAACATTGTTCCTAAGTCACAGTATTAGCACAGGAGGCCCAGGCAGGGCAGGCCCTGGGGTCCAGGCTAGCCCGGAGGCGAGGCAGCGTGGCCCACCACACACGCAGTGGGGATAGCAGCGTAGGTGGGAACCTAGAAAGGCCCAGCGGGGCTTGCGAGGAGAACGGGCCCTATTATACCCCAGCAGTCCCTTCCTGCTTTGGGAAGCAGGGCTCGTCACATGGAATGTGGGAGACATGGGAGATGCGGGAGCGGGCCTGTGGATGGACCGAGGTACACAAAGGACCAACACAGATGGACACAGGGACGCACAGTGCACGGGGCTGTGACTCGGTGCCCCGAGGCAGAGGGCATGTCCCGAGGCTGCTGTCTGGCTCAAGCCCTCCACGCGGCCACATCACCCCATAAGTCCCTTGGCACTGGGTTTGTCTCTGCAGCACAGCTGCCTGGACGGAAGGGAGGCTGGGCCCGCAGTCCTTCTGGCCAAAACGCAGGCAAGAAAATCATATCAAAAAGCAACAAGTTTACAAAAATAGAAAATAATTACAGCAGGGTGGGTGGTGGGCTCTGGCATTGGCTCAAGCAGCGGGACAGGGCCGCAGCTCTGGCTTGGTGACAGCATCCTCCAGCAGCTGCAGCGGGCGCTGGCCCACCACCACGTCCCGCAGGCAGCCTACAAAGCCTGTGCTGTAGGCCTTGGGCAGGGTCTGGCCCACAGGCAGCTTCTGCAGGCCCCCTGCAGGACAGACAGTGGTTAGTCACCAAGTGTGACTCAGTGAGGCTGATGAACAGAGGCACCTGCCAACACCGAAATGACCAGGGGAATTACCTGGAGCGCAGGTAACCAGCACGTGTACCCACACAGATGCTCCTACCTCCTGGCCCCACAGCCCTGGAGCTAAGGTGGGAGTGGACAGACCTGTGCCCCAGCCAGCATGTCTGCCTTCCTCACAGGGCTGCCTCAGGTGCTGGCCCCAGGGGATGGAGTCTACCCCTTGTATATCCTGAGACCCTTGGGTGCCCCCTCTCCTGGCCTCCCCTAAACACTTACCGAGCCACAGGGTTCCGTCTGTGTCCAGCTGTGTGGCACCCAACGGGGAGGAGCCAGTCACAGGAGCCTCATTGCCCACCTGGAGCGAACCTTCCCTCTGCTCCCTGGGGGTGAGGGTGGTGAGATGGTCAGGGGGTCCAGATGGCCCTCCCCACCTCCTGCAGCTCCTGAACATCCCTTCACCCCAACGCCTTTCAGGTGACACACCGGGGGAAGAACACAAGGCGCCATCCCTGGGGACCAGGATGGGGTGGCACAGAATCCCAGGAGAACATCTGGTGGCCAGGGTAGGGAACACTTGCACAGGTCAGGGGGTCCAGATGGCCCTCCCCACCTCCTGCAGCTCCTGAACATCCCTTCACCCCAATGCCTTTCAGGTGACACACCGGGGGAAGAACACAAGGTGCCATCCCTGGGGACCAGGATGGGGTGGCACAGAATCCCAGGAGAACATCTGGTGGCCAGGGTAGGGAACACTTGCACAGGTCAAGCTTTGCTGGAGGCAATGGCCAGGCTCAGACCAGACAGACATATTGCCGACCATTGTCTGGGCAGGGCACGGATTCCCTTCACAGACCAGGAGTCCTCTGGCCATAACTGCTTCTCTGCACCTTCTCGTCCCTCCCTTCTCTCATTGGCAGTGACCTTGGGTCAGGCAGCCAGGCCTGCCCTCCCTAACCCCTGCTCAGGCACGAGTGATGGGCACACCCCAGCCAGGCAAGTCCAGGCACGGCCCGCTGCTATTCTCAGCACATCGGGGCTCCCCGCTGACCTGTGTGCCCTGACCCGCAGCCACTGGTTGGTGCTGACAGGCACAGTGGAGCGCAGCACCACGGGCTGGGAGCCCAGGTCGTAGCTCAGCTGCAGGCGCCCGTCCACGATGGCCAGTGCCACATAGTCTGCCCGCTCCGTGGCCTTGCCGCTCCACAGCACCAGCCCTTGCGTGGCCTCGGTGCGCAAGCTCAGTTCAAAGTGGTTGCCCTGCAGCGCCTTCTCGCTGGGGGCAAAGACATGGGTCAGGGCCTCCCGGAAGGCAGCAGGGCCCAGATGTGGGAGGCAGGAGGAAAAGAGCCACAGCTGCAGTGGCCACAGGCTGGGGATGAAACCAAGGAGCAGCCGGATGGGAGGTGGGCAGACACCAACAGTGCAATGCAGAAGAGAGACGGACAGATAGCCAGACAATGGGACAGAGGAACGATCAGAAAGAGAGGGGAAGGGCCGGCCCGGTGGCGCACTGGATAAGTGCGCCGCTTGGGAAGCGTGGCGGCACTCCCGCCCGAGGGTTCGGATTCCACATACAGACCGGTTCCCGCTCACTGGCTGAGCGAGGCGCGGGGGGTAACGCCGAGGGTTGCGATCCCGTTGCCGGTCCCCGGTTCGGTACGGGGGCAACACTGAGGGTTGTGATCCGTTGCCGGACACGGAAAAAGACAAAAAAAAAAAAAAAAAAAGAAAGAGAGGGGAAGATGGGTGGGCACATGGCGGGTCTCGCAGCACTGCAGCGTGCTCACCTGTGAAAGGCCCCAGAATCCGGAGTTTCGGGGCTTAGAAGCAGGAAGAGAGGAAAGCAGGTGAGCAGCAGACAGACAGGCTGAGCACAGGGCGGGGGCTGGCAAGCCCCTCCCCACATACACCTTCAACAGTGTAAGGTGGGAGGAGCAGGCATCCACAGAAGACACGTGGGACCCTGGATGTCACTGGCCCCACCCACCAAAGAGCCCTGGCAACGACACACATGCAGCACGCATGTGCAGATACCAGCTGGCAGGCAGGGCCCAGGCGGTCAGAGATCAGGGGGGTATGAGATGGCAGGGGATGGAGACTGAGGGCTCACCTGCCTGGGAGTGGCTCCTGAATGACCCAACACACAAACGCACACGCACACCTACAAGTTTGCACACACAAACACACATCCACACATACTGCATACAAACAAGCATGCGTGTACACACACGAACTCATGTGCATATGTGCACACACACCTGAATGTGCACATGCACTCGTGGACACAAACACACGTATGTGCGCACATAAGTATGCCGCTGCCTCACAGGTGAATCGGGTGACCAGCCCTCGGCTGGTGGCTTGGGAAGGGGCGCCTCCCCACTTCCAAGGTAGGAAGCTGAGCCTCGTGCAGCACACAGTCCCTAGACCCCATCCTCCTCCACCTGGCATGGATAGCTCTGCCCTCCCTGGGGCTCAGGACTGTGCTGTGGTAGCGGGTGGGGAGCAGAGAGCAGGGAGGGAGTGGGCGTGAGGGTGCAGGTGGGGGCAGAGGTGCTACTTACGCTGGGATCTCATTGGTCAGTTTGCTTGGAAACAAAGAGACAGAGACAGTGAGAAGGAGGGAGGGTGGAGCTGGGTGGACAGTAGGCTTTCCCCTCCGGCTCAAGCCAAGGGTAGACGTGCAGGGTCCGGCGTCCCGTCCTGCACAATGTGCGCAGACAAGACTAGAGGAACAGCAGAGGACTCAAGGGTGCCAACACGTTACCTCTCGGTCACAGCATTGAGGTACTCGATGTAGGTCCGCCCGTCAAAGGCCAGCGTGTCCAGGCCCTCTGCTGACTTCTCAATCAGCCCTGTGAGGCGGGTGGGTGAGGTCGGTCACAGCATTGAGGTACTCGATGTAGGTCCGCCCGTCAAAGGCCAGCGTGTCCAGGCCCCCTGCTGACTTCTCAATCAGCCCTGTGAGGCGGGTGGGTGAGGGCAGACCTTGGGCACTGACCCCAGCCCTGTCCAGCCTCTGCCCATGCCCCGTTGCTCACCCTTCTCGCAGTGCAGCCCCGAGAAGCCTGCAGGACACAGGCACTCATAGGTGGCCTCCCTCGGGAGACATGAGGCCCCATTGAGGCAGAGGTGGCCTGAGGCTTGAGTACAAGGGTGGTCTGGGAAGGAGGAGACGTCCACCGCCTGAAGAACGTTCTCCTGGGTCAGCAGCTGGTGGCCTCTCAGGGAGACCTGCAGGGGGCGGGGGTAGGCGAGGGTAGGCGGTGACAGCCTGTCCTCCTGCTGCTCTCCTGCTGTGATGGCCCTCACCCCAGGAGAACAGACACACTCCCATGACGGGCCCTTCCTTGGGACCCTGCCACCCAACCCCCACAGCACAGAGCCCTGGTGAGACGGCCCCACCCCTGCCCCACGTACCAGCTGGATGGCACCATCAAAGCCCGAGGACACTGCAGCCGCTCGAGCTAGCTTGCTGAAGTCAGGGGCGCCCCCAATGTAGAGCGGCTCCTTCAGATTGAGGATGGTGTGTGGCACCTGCGGGAGGCGCTGGGTGAGGGGCTGCGTGAAGCCCACCACTGGCCAGGAACAGGCTGAGTCCCAGACCAGGGTTGCCCAACCGTCCAAGGCTCCCCAATGCCCCACAGCCCCCCGATCTATCTAGGAGGCAGCATTAATCACACAAAAACGGCAGATGGTTGGGTCCTTAGTGGGGAAGGAGCTACTCTAAGGCTGGAGGCGCAGGAAACGATGAGCAGGCGAGAGGGAGACAGTACCTTGCGGGATTTCTGACATCCGAAGAGCGGGTGGGGATTGCAGAGCAAGAGCCAGAGAGCAGCGGGGCAGAGAGAGAAGACAGACAGACAGAGGCACAGGACAGACGAAGAGAAAACAGCTCAGTAAGAGCCAACCACAGGGTGGGGGCTGCCGAGCCCTGGGAGGGTAGGAGGAGGCAGGCGGTGGGAGCGCGTCGGGAGAGGCCCAGGCCCCCCCACAACCCCAGGGGCCCTTACCGGGGACTCCCCTAGCACGCGGGGCCCATCACCAACACGCATGGCACCCTTGCGGCCATTTCGCTCCAGTGAGACCCTGGTCCAGGTGCCCAGGGTGATGGGCTCCTTGCTCCTGGAAAGGAGGGGGGCCCCGTGAGCAGGCTCTGGCCTCTGCTTGCCCACTCAATGGCCCAAGCGACACTGCCACATGCCCAGCCTGGTACTCACCCCAGGGCCAGCCCCCCCGAGTCCTCCCTGTGGTTGGGGTGGGTAGTCGTCCAGAGCAGGGCCCAGTCTAGTCCCCTTGGCCCACCTACACTTGCCCACCTGATGACAGCTGCCCCCTTGCCCAGGTCATAGCGGAACTCCAGGCGGCGGTCATGCAACACCAGTGATACGAAGTCCCCCTTGCCGTCCGTCTTCTGTCCGTTGTAGAGGAGCAGACCACTGGGGCCACGGGCCAGGAACACCACCTCCACCGCCATCTTCTCCCTGCAGTCACATGGGGTCATGCAGGGGCCACAGGCTGGATACAGGAGGGTTCACCCCCCCATTCTGCCCTACTGACCCCAGGTCCCGCTCAAAATTGTGCAAGCCTTTCAGCTCTAGGTAGGAGAAGCCGCTGAAGTCAGCCAGGAAGGGCCGAGGGTCGTCCTGCTCTGACACTGTGGAAGGCCAAACAGGTTCACACAAGGCTCGGGGCCCTGACCCTTGGGGTCTCCTGCACCACCCCTGCCCTGCCAGCCCCATGCCTAATCTAATTAACACCCAATACCAGCCCGAATCTCAACCCTAACTGGCACCCAAGCCCCAGTCCAACTTGGACTACCCCCCAGCCCGAACGTTCAATTCCGTGCCCGGAGAGCCCTGCCCCCACCTATCTGGCAGAGGCTGCCCCTGCGGCCCAGGGGGCATTCGCACTTGGCCCCACCCTCGGGTAGCACATGGCAGGGGGCTGCCCCGTGGCAGGGGTTCGGCTGGCAGGGGCTCTTTTCATCGGCGCAGGTCGGGCCTGGAGGGAGACAGGATGGGGATCCCGAGAGATGTAAGAACCTGCCCACAGACAAATGGTTGCCCACCCCCAGCACCTAGTCCCTGGCCCCGCCCTCACCAAAGCGGCCGGGTGGGCACTGACAGTGGAACGCACCGGCCTCCAGGGCCTGGCATGGGGCCCCACCACGGCAGGGGTTGGGCAGGCAGGGGTGGTCCCCACACTCGCCCACGCTGAAGCTTTGGACTGCAGCCCCCTGCCAGCTGCTGAGCTCCAACCGCTGGTTGTTGACGTCTAGCAAACGGATGCAGCCTCTCAGGCCGACGCTGACAGAGGTCCGTTCAAGCACCCTGCCACCAGGAAAGGGGTGAGCGACCAGAGGCCAGAGCCATCATTTCTCAGCCAGTTCTGATACTGACATCTTCCAATAAACTAGAGCCAGAGATCAGGGCGGCCCCTTCTCCCACTCCCTGCTTTTGCTGCTCACAAGGTGGCAGACCCGACAAACAGGGCAGGATCAGAAGATGGAATTAAGGGTCAAGAGTCGCAACTGAAGATCAGAGCCAAACCAATCCCTCTGCAGTGGCCACAGGGCAACCTGGTCCTCAGGGATGCCACCCAAGCAGGACAGGAGTGGCTGGAGGGTCAGGGGTTGAGGGTCAGGGGTTGGGGTCCAGACCACGATCCCTTCCTCGATGCTCACATGGCAGCGTGGTCCTCTGGGACGCCACCCACGAAGAGGTCAGTGTCGAGGTTGAGACCGTCGGTGCCACTGGGACTCTCACCCACGACAGGGGTCTCACCATCCACTGAGAGTGTGCCCCGGCGCCAATGCCGCGACAGCTCTAGTCGGTGCCACCGGCCTGGCTCCACAGGCACCGAGCTCGTCAGCACCGCGCACTCTTTCTGCATGTCTTTTCCTGTGGTATTCCCTATCTCTGGAATGTTCTCCCTGCCCTTGACTGCTAGAAGAGCTCTAGCTCACTGAAGTCTCTCCCAAGTTTTACCTTTTAGAGACACTTTCCCTAAACCCTCCCCTTCCCACCCCACCATCCCACTTCCAAAAGGTTAGTTTCCCAGAACATTGTGCTCCCACAACCCCATACTGATTTGGGAGATCAACAAGTCCACCTTTCTTTTGTTTTTTCACCCCCAATGATTAGCACAGTTCCTGATACAGAATAGGAAGCCAACAAACATTGAGAAAAAAGGGAGTGAGTGAAGGAAGAAAATAAATGACAAAAGATAAGCACCACAATGGGGATGGAGTACGGAGGAGACAGTAGTTCTTGAGTAATCTGTAAATGCGGCCATCAGTTCCTGAATAGGCACAAATGCCTACCCATAAGATGCTAGAGAATTCTTCTTACAACTTTTTTCAATTAATTTTTATTTTTAAAAATTACCAACCAACTCTTAATCTTCACAGTTGACTTAATGAAATGAAACAAGCCTGCCTGGCTTTAGTCAACTGGGTTTCCACTTTTTCCTTCTCATAGTGTTTAGAGAAGATCAAGGAGAAAAAAAAAAAAAAAAAAACCTTAAGGCAGGAGACATATCTTTCCTCTTTTGAAATTTGTTTTAAATGGACAATATTTAAAGGCCAGGAAGGAGCGGCCCCCGAAGGCCGGCACGGAGGGGCGCAGCGCTGCGGGGACGACGGGCAGGGCCGGCTGCAGGAGCGCGGAGGGTCCCATGCCCGTCCCCGGGCCGGGCACTAACCCCAGGCCCCGCCCCTCCTCCCGAGGGTTGCTTGGCCCTGCCCCCAATCCTTGCGCCCGCCCCCCTGTCCCCCTGCTCCTCCCCCGTAGCGAGGACCCTTACCCTTCTCACAGAAGGCGCCTCCCCTGCCCGTCCGGCAGCTGCAGGTGAAGGCTCTGCCTGAGTCCTGGTCTTGGCAGGTCCCCCCATGGAGGCAGGGCTGGGAGTCACAGGGCCTTAGGGGCTGCTGGGGCCCTGGGGTCAGAGGTCGGCGTCCAGCCGCCGGGCTGGGGGCAGTGGTGGGGGGCCAGCGTGTGGTGGGGGGTGCTGTGGTCCTGCCAGTGGGCCGGCTTGTGTGAATGGGGTACGGGGCCCGAGGGGTCACAGCAGAGGAAGGCAGGCGGGCCACCGTAGTAGCTCTGGCTGTGGTCACAGCAGCAGTGGCTCCAGTTGTGGCTACCGTGAACGCAGGAAACCAGTCTGGGGGTGGGGGTGAGCCATCAGAGTCCGCAAGGAGCAGGACACAGGGAGGGCCAACAAGGAATGGGGTTCTGGGGAAGGGGAGGGGACAACCAAGCTGTAGCTCGTGGCCTGGTATGGTACTCACCAAAGTCCATGAAGCGCACGTGGTCCTGCAGTGGCCGTGTCACCCCCAGGGACCGGCGCCTGGACACCTGGATCTGCCGGAGCAGGGCCCGGCTCACGTCGGGGGCCCTGAAGGCTGTGGCTGGGGAGGAGGGGGCTCTGAGCATGGCACAGCCTATGTCGCCCCCACCCATTAATGGCCTCAAGAGGACATGGGGGGAGGCTCACTGGGGTCAAAGTGCACGTCCACAATGGCACGGACTGATCTGCCGGGTCCCAGGTCCCGCAGGCGGACACTCCAGAAGTCCTTCTTGACATCTGAGTTCCGGAAGAGGTCGTCCAGCTGTGGGCAGGGAGTGTGGGAGGACTCTGGGCAGCCACCCAGGCCTGGATGAAGCTGGGGTCCTGCCACCCAGGTCCTCCCCTGGGGTCTGTCCTCAGAGGAAGGCCAGTGGCTGAGCAGGGGCTGCACCCCTCACCCAGCAGGCCCGCACATTACCGCACTCTCAATGCTCCTGGCGGTCTCCCCAAACAGCTCCGACTTGGGGTCAGCCATCTCTGGTGTGTAGAATAGCTCCTGCCCCTCGACCCCCTCAAGCTCCAGCACGCCCTGGAACGCCTTGGTGGCTGTGGGGGAGGGGCAGTGAGGCCCTGCCTGGTGCCTGCCTGGCCTCCTGGGCCGGCCACGGGCACAGGCCCCAGCAGCAAGCCCCACGGGGCACAGGGCGGATGGATGTTAGTCAGATGGTCATGAGGTTAGTGGAGACCCCAGGGCAGGGCTGATGTCAGTTACCGGGCGGACTCCTTGAAGCAGTGCCCCCGGCCGGCTTGCAACAAGAGAGACAGGTTAGGCACGGGGTCCTGACCACGCACCTGTGTGCGGGGCCAAGACCATACATGTGCGGGGGGGTGGGGGTGGCAAATCCCCAAGACCACATACACGCACGTGCTGAGGCCAGAAGACCGTAAACCCCCTGTACCAACCTGCTGCCTGGGGGGTGGAGATAGCACCCCTGGCCTGTCCAGGCTGCTCCTGAAGCTCCACCCTGTCCCCAGCTGCCAACTCACCGGGACAGTTGGAGCCCTCTGTGTCCACTGAGAGTGTCTTGCCATCCGAACAGCAGCCCAAAGGTGAGTTGTAGCAGGAAGCCTTCTCGATGGGTGGCCCAGGGGTCCCCACATTGCTGTCCTCAGGGGGCTCAAGTCCTGGGGAGGCATAGTCTGAGCCCAGCCCCAGGTGGAGCCTTCTCCTGCACCCTGCACCCCACCCCCCACATCTCTGAGCCCCACCCACCCCCAGACCTCCCCCCACTGGCCTCCTGGTCCCTGCTCACCCCCAGACCCCCCCCCGCTGGCCTCCTGGTCCCCGCTCAGCTCTTCCTCGCCACTTCCATCTGCACTGCTGGATTCTCCGAAGGCAGACGTGACGAGACTGGTCACAGCAGAGGGTGCTGTGGGGGGCATAGTCAGTGCAGGCCGCGTGGTGGTCCTGGGGATGCTGGCGGTGGTCCAAGGTCGTGATGAGTGTAGAGGAGTGGGCCGGCTGTGGGGGATACTGCTGGGAGCCACGGGGTGGGTGCTGGGGGGTAGTGGCAGCATCTCGCTCAGGATGGGCCCTGGGGTGGTTATGGATGCGGGTGTTGGCTGGGCACCAGGAACAACAGCCTCTGCAAGAAGAAGGAGGTTGGGATGGGGGCCGGATGGGGGCTGGGGCCAGGTGGCTCAGGGCAGGGTGGGGCTGTAGGCAGGGCAGGGTCAGGCCTTGCTGGTCAGTTGTGGGTGATGCCCAGTGAGCTCACCCTGACAGGGGCCAAGGCTCTGCACAGAGATGTTCAGGCTCTGGCGGCAGGCAATGGTCTTCAGCTGGCACTCGTTGCCATAGGTGACCCCATCCGACCCACAGACCTGGCCACAGGGCAGAGAAGCTCAGGTGAGGTCTCCCCCACTGCCCCACTCTCCACACTGCCCACCTCTCACCTTGGTAGCATCAGTCTCAGGACACGTGAGCGCTGGGCAAACACAGTGGGCAGAGCCAGCCTCCTCCACGCAGAACGCACCAAACTCACAGCGCATCTCCAAACAAGTCTCGGGCACCGAGGAGTCTGGGGCACAGATATGGAGACCCGCAGCACTCAGGCTGCCTCACCCCCCACACTGGGAGCCCCGGGTCAACATGGGCCCTTGCCCTCACCTGGTTCACAGCCAGCAGGGCCCAAGGCGCGACCATCTGGACATTGCCCGCACTTGGGACCAGCCACCCCAGGCTTGCAGGAGCACAGCCCTGTCATCTGCTCACAGTCATCCCGCACGGCACCCCAGGGGTCACAGCTGCAAGCTGGGGAAGAAACTGATGTCTGCACCTGGACAGTCTTCCCCACCTGCTCTGGAAAGCCCCCCCCCCCAATTTCCTAGCCCCTGGTGTGGATCAGGCAAGGGTACAGTGGAGGGGCAGGGTGATGAGAGCTGGGCGAGCGGGAGTGCGTGGCTGGTGGCCAGCCCAGGGCCCTGTCACTCACGGGTACAGCCACTCCGGCCATCAGTGACGATGCCCCGGAAGTTCCAGAAGCCGGGCTCGCAGCGGTCACACTTGAGGCCCCCCACGCCTGGGCGGCAGGAGCACTGGCCTGTAGCTGGGTTGCAGGTGCTGCTGTAGGAGCCATGTGGGTTGCACTGGCATGCACCTGCAAAGCCAGGGAAGGACAGGGTCACTGCAGCTGCACGGCTCCAACAGGCCAGAGATCAGGGCTGAGTTCAGGTACTCACTGGGGCAGCCAGCAAGGCCCACACCCTGGGCAGCAGTGACATTGTCTTGGCAGCAGCCGTAGGGGGCCTGGGCACAGTGCAGGGGAGCCACAGGCAGCAGTGGGGCCAAGGTGGGACCTGCAGGGAGGGACACAGTGTTCTGACCTCATGTGGTGCTGGACGCACAGCCTGCTTCACCTTCCCCCTGCCATGACCACTCAGCTGTCCTGATACCAACTGCCACCAGGGCCTGGGAGGCTGGGGCTGAGTCACAGGTGAAACCACAGCACATACAAAGACATGTCTGTAGGACCGGCCCGTGGCTCACTTGGGAGAGTGTGGTGCTGATAACACCACGGCCACAGGTTCGGATCCCTTTATAGGGATGGCCGGTTAGCTCACTTGGGAGAGTGTGGTGCTGACAACACCAAGTCAAGGGTTAAGATCCCCTTACCGGTCACCTTATTAAAAAAAAAAAGACATGTCTGTAAATGCAAGACCAGAAACACAGAGTACACATGGTCGTGTACACACAGAATGCCCAAAGGTTGTGGACATGCACCCCATGCACACACAGGTAAGTGTGTCTTTGTAAGCCAACATACACACACACACACACACACACACAGATGTGCACACACAGTCATCCACATTCCTCCAAAGCCACACACATTTAATCACACCCATCGAAACTGTACATGCATAAGCACACACTCAGGACCACTTTGTGCATGCATAAACTTATAATAAATGTGACATTTTCACTGAGTCACTGTCAGTCTCCCCGCAACGAGAGAGAAGGTCCAGAGGATGGGGCCAGAGGATGGTTCCCGGCCACCTCCCAGCACCAAAGCCTGGCCTGACGCACAGTAGGTGCTTGGTACTGGCTGATAAGACACATGTGGTTCCACGCACCTCTCACTCATGTGCATACATGGGAACGCCAAGGCTTCTGCACGTGTGCCTGAGCAGGTGTGCCCTGCATGCCAACACACCTATAAGGAGCCTGCTGCTCACCTCGGCAGGCTCCCTGAGCCGTGATGTACAGTTCTCGCTGTGACTCACACCGGGCCTTCTTCAGGTCACATTCGGTGCCATAGGTGACCCCATCGGAGCCGCACACCTGCAGTTGTGGTGTCAGTGTGGGTGGCCTCGGCCCCTTCCTCGCTGCCCACCCAGAGCCAGGGGAGGTGGGGGCTCACCGGGCTCCTGGGGACACTCTGGCAGCTGAAGTCACAGACGCATGGGCCATCCTCCAAGTCCTCGTCCCACACGCCACCGTGCTGCCGGCACAGCTCCTGCTCACACACACCGTCCTCTCCGGAGCCAGAGCCGCCAGAGCCACACTCGGCTGTGGTGAAGAGCCAGGTCACCCAGGGGTCCTTGTCTGGGGCTGGGTCCTAGCAGTCCACGCCCACTGCCCCCTGAGCCTACCCTGCTCACACGGCCCTGTCCGGGCCTCCTCAATGTTCACTTGCTGCCGACAGGCAGCTTCCCGTAGCTCGCAGGTGCTGCGGTAAGTGATACCGTCGGTGCCACATATGGGGCTGGGTGGGGGGCGCTCACACCGGGGACACACACACTGCCCTGCCGAACACACAGCCCCAAAGGCACACACCGTGTCTCCACAAGTCTCTGCGGAAGACAGAGCCAGGCAAGGGTCAGCAGACCCTGGTGGGGGAGGCCTGGGACCCTGGCCCCCTGGCCCCTGGCCTCACTCACGGCAGTGTCCGGCGGAGGCCACATGCAGGCTGATCTGGTGTGTGCAGGCGTGGACGTGCAGTTCACACTCGCTGGCATATGTGTGCCCATCAGAACCACACACGGGCTGGGCCGAGTTCACACATTCAGAGGGGCACACACAGCGCCCGGTCTCAGCCTCACACAGAGCTCCAAAGCGGCACTGCCCACAGTGGTCTGGGGAGAGAGCCCAGTCACCATGGTGACCAGGAGTTCTCCTTCCTCCCCTACTCCCCAGCCAGCCCCACTCGCCCACCACTGACCACAGGGTCCTCTGCGTGCTACCCGGATCTCCCGCCCGAGGGCACAGGCCGTGGCCTCCAGCTCGCAGGCACTGCCATAGGTGATGCCATCACTGCCGCACACGGGGTCATAGGTGCCAGAACATGCCTGTGGGCACTCACACACAGCCTCCCCATTCTTCACGGCACAGGTTGCCCCGAATGTGCATTGCACGCCACGGCAGGGGGACGGGGCCTGGTCTGGGGAGAACATGGGCACTCAGCGGACCCACATGCTCCCCTTAGCTGTGGGCAAAGCCCCCAGCCCCACGCAGCAGTCCCTTTCCCAGGGTGGGGATGGTGGAGGAAGAGTGGACGGGGGAAGGGCCAGATGCACAGGACGCAGCAGAGAAAGGGACAGACACATGACAGATGTGGACAGGGACACAAACTGAAACAGCCCAGCCCCTGCATGAGTGTGGGGTGGGGTTGCCCTCAAGACACAGGTGCTTCCTGGCAGCCAGGCCTGGCCACCCGCCCAGGCCATGGACCCCCAAGCACCAGCAGCCCCAGGACACCCGTGCATGTGGGGGGGCTCTCCGTGGGGGGGAGGAGTCTGCACCCCCAGAGTCACACCCAGGGCCGCATGGGAGATGAGGTGTCTGTCCACTTGCTCTGAGGACCACAAGGCCAGGCAGCAGCGAGCCACCCCCCCCACCTCGCTGGGGGCAGACCTCGGGCTGCAGGCTCCTGGCGGGCAGGCACGGCACCTCATCCTGCCAGCAGATCAGGCTGGAAGACACAAGAGGCGGAGCCGAGAGGGAAGGAAGGACCAAGAAGAGGAGACAGACGCAGAAAGAAAGACCAGAAGAATGGACAGACCGGCCGACTAAGATGGCAGAGCCACAGGGGACACGCTGGCTGCTGCCTTCATCCTCCATCAGTCCCTCAAATCCTAACTGAGGCTACCTCTAAAGGGACTGGTGGCTGCACGTGTCCCACGAGTCTGGGGCTCCCCCAGTGTTGTGTCCACACCCACCCACCGCGGACAGAGAGACAGACGGGTGGACAAACTAGAGGGCTTGCAGGTGGCAGCGTGGCCAAGTGCAAGTATCAGGGGCAGCCTGCACAAGGCCCCCGCCCCCCAGGTGTCCCGGGCACCATCCTCTCCACCTCCACCCACCCCGAGCCTTCCCAGGTGAGCAGCCTTCCCCCAGAGCCCAGCGCAAACATGGGGGGATGACGATGGCATGTGATGACAGGCAGAGACTGACGCAGGGCAGTACTCCAGCCTGGGCCACCCTGAAGCTCACCACACGGGCCCTGGTGCTTGGCAGGGATGGCTCGTTGCTGCTGACACTCAGCCTGCTGGCGCCAACAGTCATTGTCATACGTGTGCCCGTCCTGGGCGCACACAGGCCTGTAGGCCCCGTCACAGGTGACACGGTCACAGGAGCAATGGGGATGGCCACGGCGGGACAAGCACACAGCATTGAACAGGCAGGCGTCTGGGCACCGGTCTGGGGAGCGGGGGCAAGGAGATCAGAGAAGCCAGAGCACCATGCCAGGTCCACCTGGATGTGCAGGGGACCCAGGGGCACAGGAGGGACCTCGTGGGTCACAAAATGGCAGGGGTGGGGCCTTTGGGGAGGCCGCCCACCTCGAGGCTGGCACTGGCCAGAGCGCACTTTCTGGAGGAGGAGGCCACGGGCAGCCCCTGTTCGGCCCATGACGCAGTCGTTTTCGTAGGTGACCCCATCGTCACCACACACAGGCGCCCTCCGGGAAGGGCAGCTCTCCGGCCTCAGGAGCATCTCAGGGCGCCGCGTGCGTGGGTTCACGCGGCAGACGCGGCTCAGGTCAGTGAGGGTGCCGTGGCAGGGGTCTGGGGGTCGGGAGGGCAGGAGTCAGGATGCTGTCGCCTGTGCGCACACGCACGCACAGAAGCGGAGCTATGCGCACCGGGCAGCACTCACCGCAGGGGCCGTCCAACTTCTTGAAGATGTTCTCCTGGCGGGCGCAGGCCCGGCGCAGGAGCTGGCACTCGCCGGGGTAGTCTGTGCCATCGCTGCCACACACGGTGCCCTCGGGGGTGCCCTGGCAGGTCGTGGGACACAGGCACGAGGCCGTCTGCCCATCGACGGAGCGCGCGCAGGTACTGCCAAAGCTGCAGGTCACGTTGGAGCAGGGGTCCGGGGACCCTGCGGGCGGGGAGGGTGGGGTCACGCTGTGCCCGCCCCGCCCCCGGCGCAAACCTTGCAACCGTCCCGGGCGTCCCTGTCCCCAGTCCCTGGGGCGCGCTCACCGCAGGGCCCGCGGCGTAGCAGGCGGATGCGCCTCTGCTGGCGGCACTGCGCGCGCTGCAGCTCGCACTCGTTGCTGTAGGTGGAAGCGTCTGAGCCGCACACGGGTGCCACCACGTTGGGGCACGAGCTCTTCTTGCACACGCAGGACGCCCGTCCAGGATTCTCCACACTGGGCTCGCACACGGCGCCGAAGCCGCACAGCATCCCGCGGCACGCTGGAGCGGGCAGGACAAGGGAAGGACGTGGCTCCACCGCCCGCTCCGTGGTCACTCACGAAACCCGACGGACACGTCCACTCGCGTGTCCACATGCCCGCGTGCTCACACACGGCCTCACGTGCGCCTGTGCTCACAGGGCCCGGCCCACAGGCCTCTCCTTAGCGGGGGACATTTTCACCTCGCCCCCAACACCCTGCAACTGTGGAGAGGGGCGTCTGTGTCCCCACAACGGGCCAGTCCCTCTCCAGCCATCTGTGCTTCATGTGACTCCTCACCTCTCCCCACAGAGCCCAGGCTCGCCCTCCCCAGGTGACGAGCTTCAGGTGCCCCCTCCTGGGAGCTGCTTCAGTGCCCACCACACTGGACCCCTGCCCCAGGCCACACACAAGGGAGGGGTCTGAAGCCGGGTCTCACCTCCACTCTCTGATTCACTGCCCCCGGGACCCCCCCTCACCTCCCATGGCCCCCACGTCCAGCCCCCCAGGTCCACGCCCCCCTGCAGCCTCCCCGGCCCCACGCTGACTGTGGCATCTCTCCCTGGGGTCCCTCAGCGCCCCCATGCCGCCTCCCGGTCCAGCCGCTCCTCCCGTCCGGAGCAGCCCTGCCTAACCTGTCCACAGTGACGTTCTCGGGGGCCAAGCCCTGGAGCTGTGCTCATCATTTTATCCTCGACCGTTTTAGTTCTTAACGTTGCAGACAATGGTGCCAGGCACACACCCACCACCGAAGCACAGCACTGGGGCAGGGGCAGGCTGACTCTTCAGAACCTCCACCCAGGACAGTGCACCCATGGGCGGAGAAGGCCCATTAGGGGCTGCAGCTGTTTGGATCTAATAAATGTTTGATTAATAAGCCACGGGGGGTGGGGTGCTACCCACTACCACGTCCCAGCAGGCTGAGGAAATGGGGCACGGGGAAGCCAGGAGGGTGGGGTGCACTGGGAGCAGGAGCCAGCTGTTGCCAGAGCGACGGTCCCCTCAGGGTCCAGCAGGCAATCCCTGCCCCCACCCCAGGAGTCTGAGTGGAGTGGGCCCTCAGCCCGCCATCCCTGCCACCCACCCATGTCCCCTTCCCCCAATCTCACCTGTGCCCCCCGCCCCCTTTCACTCCCCTTTCCCCTCAGGTCCTTGAGCTGGGCTGACCCAGCTCTGTGTTCACCCAGCATGTGACTGTGGGCACGTTATCACCTCACTGTGCCTCAGTGTCCCCTTCTGTGAATGGGGACAACGGGATGCAGTTCCCAGGGTTGTGGGGTTAAAAGGCCAATATCTGCAAAGCCCAGCACTCAGCGTGGCATTGAGCGTTTGCTGCCATGATGAGCAAAGTAACAAGAACTGTCACTACCAATGGCCACCCCTCTGTCCCAGCTCAAAACAAACCCAAACCATGCTCCCCCGTGGCCCTCACCTCCCTCCTGTCTCCCCTTCTCTGCCCTTGGCACCTCTCTCTCACATGCCGGCCTCTCTTGCCCAAGGCCCCTGGGACTCCCAGGCCAAATCCAACAGACATTGCTGAAGCCCTGTTGGCTGCTCTCTTAGGCTTCAGCAGGACCTGCTGACCAAGGTCTCGCCCAGGCTCCTGACCCCATGGCTAAGGACCTGGTCACCTCCCTGTGCCCGGGCTCTGCTGCGTGTCCCTGCTCCTCGGGCTCAGCCCTCTCTCCCCCTCTGGTCACTTTAGCCTAACCAGACCTCTTCCAAGGCCCTGACCCACAGCCAAGGACACCTGTTCCTGGATGGCTGTGTTTCTCACCCACCAAGACCCCTGCCTTCCTCCACAGCCCAGCCCACAGTTCTGCTGTGTCCCCCACGACAGAGACCTGTGGAGGAAGGCAGCTGCCCACACTACCCTCATACATGAAGTGGCACAGCGGGCACTGGGAGCCATGTGTCCCTGACGGTCACCCCTGGGAGCTCTAACAAGTCTGCCCAGCTCAGCCTCCTGCAGGAGCCGCTCCCTGGCCTCTTCCTGTCCCCAAGCAGTTTCTGTCACAGCACACCCAAGGCCCCCCCTGTAACACACAATGCTGGAGGCGGCAGTGGCTTTTTATAGCCAGTGCTGGAGCGGGTATATTTAACTCCTGTCCTGCTCTTGAGTGCGGTGGAGGATGCAGCGGATGGCCTAGCCCTGCCTGTGGCCACAGATCTGTGGTGTGAGTGTCTGCAAGGGACCCAGAGAGTGAGGTGGCACACATGTGTGAAGACTATGACATGCAGCTTTCCATGACTGTGTGGCGGGATGGGTGTGGATGTGGGACCCACACATGCAGCTGTGGGGAGGATGGGTGTATGTGTAAAGGAAACAAGATGCTCACCAGCCTTTTGGGTTTCAGGAGAGGGGGCTGAGGATGTTGAGAGGAGCCACCTGAGCCCAATCTTTAAATCCAGACAGCTCAGGCATCTTGTCCACAGGCTAAAAAAACTCCGTCCTCAGCCCCAGCCCAGCACAGACCTGCCTCTTCTGCACTGCCCATCCCCTAGGAGGGTGTCTGGGACAAGCAGGCTGCTTGCCCATCCACCTACCCAGCCCTGCCGCTCACATGCCACACAGTGGGGTCATGCGGCCCTGACCTGAAAGGCTCCAGTGTCTCAGGAGGGGGGACAGCAACCCCCCAGGTGCAGGCCCCTTGGAGGCCACTGGCCTCCCTCACCTCTGCAGGGCCACCCTGTCCTGGCTCACAAGGACACTCACTTGTCCTGCAGACAAGTCTCCTCTCCCCACGACCCAGGTGGGACCTGGAGCTCTGAGGGGCCGGCCCTCAGAGTCTTGTGGGAGTGGCCCAAGGAGGGCATTGCTGTCAGGGGGCCAGGGCTGGGAGCCCACAGACAGAGGTTGCAGGGCCAGAGCCCAGGGGCAGGACAGGGGCCCCACAACCACCACCCCTATTCCCACTGCTGGGCTCCTCTCCCCACCCCTGATGTCACCCCAGCCCAGGGTCCTGGTTTCAGGCCCCAAGTGGCCAGGTGTGTCAGAGAGCACACTACCAGCATGCAGGCACCACAGCCTCCAGGAGTAACAGACAGCTGACTACGCATGGCCCCAGCCTGGATGGCCTCCAAGACAGGAGAGAGCGGAAGAGCCCCTCAATCCCACACCCCCAAATCTGGCTCTGTTCCTGGGTGCCCAAGGTCCCCACTCCTAGGGAACACCCCTATGCTGTCTCTCAGACCGCTGAGGACCCTGGGCTGCCCCCACCCTGGCCCTCACCTCCCAGCACAGGGTGGGTAGGCACTGCGGCACTGTGGACAGAGGAAAGGAGACCCTGCCTCACTCCCATTTCTAAGACCCAGGAAATGACCCAGAAGACGACCTACACAACCCAGGGGTGTATGCAGGGACAAGGGCCCAGGCCCCCAGCCCCAGGCCACTCCAGGATCCTCTAAGTTGTCCTCCCCACCCCACGTCCTGGTCAGGACAGACCTGCAGCCCGACCCCACATACAGACGGCCCTGCCGTGTGACTTCTGGGAACCTGGAAAAGCACCTACCCAGCACGGGACCCAGTGATGAGGCAGGTACTGGGAGTGAGCCAGCTGGAGAGGACTCCAGGGTGGGTGGTGGGAGACGTGCCGCGCCCTTTGCCCCTGCTCCCTGCAGCCCAGCTTCCTCTCTTCCTGGCTCACATTAGCTTAATTACAGGCCCACATATTAGCAGCCCCATATTAGCAGGCCCCACCCCACAGAGCAGGTCAAAAGGTGAGCCCGCCCCTCCAGCAGGGCTGCTCTCCTGCAGCGCCTGCTCAGACCCCTGCTCAGACCCACGGACAGACCCCAGATCCTCCAAGCAACTCCTGAGACAGCTGTGCTGGTTGTGCTGAGTGGCCCCCAGCCCAGCCCAGCCTTTCCTCTGGCTGCCGTCTCCAGCCCCACCCCTTCCTGAGTGGGGAGAAGTGAGGACAAAAGAGAGGAAGCCCCCGTAACCAGACCCTAACTCCACTGCCCCAGGCTTCCCACCCTGACCCCACATGCATTGTCTGACATAATCACAACTTCTGGGGGCTGAGGCCCAGAAGTTAGAGCTACGCTTTTGTGCATTGCAAGCAGCCAACATGGGCTGGGGCCTCCAGACCTCCAGCTCCGTCCTCTGCCCACTTCTGTGGACTCCCCAGGAAGAACCCAGGCTCCCTTGTCCAGCGTCCTCCCTCCTCCAGACACACCTAACACATCTGATGTGCACACCCCAAATTGGCCCCTGGCCTCCCAGAGTGCCATGCCCATCCGGGTGCCCCCCTAAGCTCAGCCTGTCACTGACTGCAGCCCCCACTCACCATCAGGAGGTATCAGAGGTGTTGCTGTGAAGTGGGTCCCAGGTTTGTCTGGAAAAAAACAAATCTCCAAGTTAGGGCCCTCTGAGCAGGTCTTTCCACATCCCACCCCTTTGCCCAGCCTGGCAGGAATATCCTGCCCACCCACACCCCCTCCTCAGCCCCAGTTACAGAGATCCAGGCTAGGGAGGCTGGGAAGCCGAGGTGTCCAGCCCTGACCCCATTGGCTGGCAGAGGCTCTTCTCTGGCCCTCCAGCCACGTGCTCACAGCCTGTACCACCTGTCAGCTGGGCCCAAGGCAGAGGCCCAGCCACCTACGTCCCCAGATGAGTCCAGCCTTAGGCCCTGCCCAACTCCCAGCATAGCCAGCTGTTCTCCCTAATTCCCACAAAAAGTGGTTTCTGCAGCTCAAGATGACAGTCAGCCCCACCAAGAGCCCAAAGACAGTCCTCAAGGAGCCCAGGGGTCCAGACAGTGACTCAAACTGTCCCCAGAAGATGCAGGTGGCCCATCCGAGCCTGGTCATGGCCCCCTGCCTCTCTATGGTCCCGCCTGCCCTCCAACTATTAGCAGTCAAGAGGGGGACACTTGGCCAGCAGGAGCAGGGCCACTCAGGCCTAGCTGGGGTGGCCACACCCAGCGGCCACGTACAGTTGTTGAGGAAGAGCAGCACAGCGAAGCCAAGTGTGGACGTGGCCAGCAGGATCAGGCAGACGTTGCATGGGATCATGAAGTATCGCACCAGCAAGGAGACCCCAGGCTGCTGCCGGGGGTCCCGCTCCAGCGACAGTGGGGGCATGGCCCGGGCTCCTTGGCCCCGACTCTTGGGGCCTGGGATGTCCTCAGGGAGCACCCTCAGGCCTCTTCGGGGACACTCCCCCCATGCTGGGACCTCCAGGCAGAGGCAGCTGATGGCAGCTGTGCTCTCCAAGTTCAGCCCCAGTCACAGCCCGGGGGGCACCAGGGCCCCTCCCCAGGCTTCCAGGCTCGTCATGGGAGGTTGTGCAGAATTCTCCGAGAGCAGAAGTCCCCAATTCGGTCTCAGAGGCATGCGAAGGAGGGACAGAAGGCCGGCGGCCACCGCTGCTGCCGCGACCCTTTCGGCCGGGCCGGCAGCTCTCAGCGCGCGCCGCGGCGCTAGGTCTTCCCGAAGCCCCCAGGAGCCCCGCGGGCCGGAGCGGCCGGCCCTGGGT